ACCGTCAAGTGAAGCACATTGGGTCTCTCTTTGATTTTCTTTTTTGTTTTTTATTTATTTATTTTTTTTTTTTTTGCAGGCGATGGCGATTTGCGATTCAATATCGACGTGGAGCAGTACTCCACCCCATGAACAGGATGATAATAGGTTGATTAATATTACTCGCTTGGGTTGTACAGTATTTGGGATTGTCGGGTAACTTTGACTCTTTGAACCTCGAGCACCACAGACATTCAGGGGGCACATTGCATCAAATAATCGTTGGTCATGAGGGAATTTGGATACATGGACCGATGCGATGAAGCTTATCCAAATCAAGCAGGGGCATGTGCGCAAGCCGACAGTTAGTGGAAGAGGTCGGTCCATAGCGCTCGGGATCATCCAGGCAAATCCCCATATCTAGACAGGAGCATTTTACTCTTCCCTATCACGGGATTCGAACATATTCCTGGCTGAACTTAAAACAGCTCCCGTGAAGTCACGAATGGCTCAACAGGTCCATTTGTGATCGGCATCACTGAATACGAGGCACCCATTTAAATCGTTCTGATAAATGAGAAATGAGAAGATGCCGCTAGCTCGACGCGAAGGATTTGAGCCGCGGGTTAAGCAGTCCAGACATGGCTGCCTTCGACCGAATACTGCCCACGATCAAATAAATAGAGACGCCTCTAAGTTTTTATGCCGTCCCCTAGGAGGATTGTCTAAACCATGAGAGCCTAAAGTCCAGGCTTTCCCTGACACCAAAACATTCTTATTTTGCGTCCATTGTCTGCTTCAGCTTGATACAGTCCTCACTCCATGTCCAACATATGGAGTTGACGCCTCTTCGACGAGATGCGGAGGCATTGATGCGTCCCAATGGCGATTCAAGCAAGCACAAAGATTATCAACATGAATTCAGACATCCAGACATTCAACCAGACGGGAATAGGCCAATGCCATCTAGAGAACGGTTCGTTGGTTGGAGGCGCACGCTTTTGTTAGGATGCGTGATTTCCGTGGTTGTGCTTGTCTTCAATCTAGGGTTTGCCCTCTGGGCCGTTCAGCATCGCCATGTTCATGACGGCCAAGGAGTCCTCTACGCGGGGGACTGTAAGAAGGTCCGGAATGCTGGTATAGGCTTTCATTTAGTCATTAACATTTTAAGCACCGCCCTCTTGAGTGCAAGCAACTACTGTATGGTATGCTTGGGACACTTTTCTTAAGTTCATACGCATACGCAAACTCACTATAACGCAGCAGGTTTTGGGTGCACCGACGAGGAAAGAGGTTGATACAGCCCACCAAAAGGGACAATGGCTCGACGTCGGTGTGTTGAGTGTGCGAAACCTGTCCCAAATAGCCAAGAAACGGTTCTGGCTGTGGATGTGTTTAGCCTTCTCCTCTCTTCCTCTCCATCTGATGTCAGCGCCTTGCTTCGTCCCGTTCTCAATGTCTCTGATAATCTTGTAAGTTTCAACTAATATTCAGGCCCTAGGTACAATTCTACCGTTTTCTCGTCAGTATCCGCGAACGCTTATAATGTCTTTGCCGCAAACGGTTCACCGAATGGCACGGCCCTATCGGTTATAGAATCGGACTTTGTGGACAACGGGAACCGGCAAGCAGTTCTCAGACTGCATGCCAAAGCGCAAAACGGCACTCTATACCAACTTGAGAATTCCGCTTGCGTTAATGCGTATGCCACTGCATTTCAGTCGACATATGGCAGTCTCATTTTAGTGACAGGCAGCGCCACTCCGGCCGACCATTTCAATCTTGTGTATACACAACAGGTCTTTAAAACCAACGTAGCCGTTGTCGGTGCAAGTGGATATAACTGGATATGCGAGGACTTGGAACATCACCAATATGAGTGGCAATTAACTCCATGCATCACTTCTCTACCAGACGTCCAAGCTCGAGTAGCCGAAAACAATTGGACAGTGGGCGGGTACAAATCAGAGTACTGCCTTGTTGAGGAGGCTACTCCACATTGCAAGCTACAGTACAGTTTGTATTTGGTGGTCATTGTGATCGCATTTAACATTGTGAAGGCCATAGTCTTGTGTTATGTCGCTTTCAACTTGAAGGACTCTCCGCTTCTTACCACTGGTGACGCAGTTTCATCTTTCTTGAGAGCACCTGACCAATGCTCGCGAGGCAGGTGTCTATTGAGTATGGAATCTGTCAGACAACCTTCCAAATACAGCAGAACCATGGCCTTCGATGCGAACCCAAGAAGATGGCGGTCAGCTATGTCTCGCAGGAGATGGTCACTTGGGATCACATGGTCAGTACTCAAGCTCTATCTCTGTCTAGTTCTCTCTCATCGGCCATATCCACTGTTACATTGCTAGTAAAAATGAATTAACAAATAACATGCAGCTATTCGGTTGCTCTTGGAGCCTGCGGCACCCTACTCGCGCTTGGATTAATTCTCTCCTTCGACTCCACTGGGATCTGGAGTGTCGGGCTAGGGCAAACCAGCACCCAAACACTGATCTCTTCTGGGGGGTACACGATTCCATCAGTGGTGGCCAATAGCCTAGTGGCAAATTTACCCCAGCTCATATTCTCCATGCTATATTTTGCCTGTAACGGCCTTATCACGACCATGGCCCTAGCCCATGAATGGAGTCAATATGCAAACCAGCGGAAAGGACTGCGTGTCTCTGCCGAGCCAATGGGCACACAACGAAGCACGTACTTCCTCTCTCTGCCATACCGCTACGCCATTCCATTCATTATTGTATCGACCCTCGTGCACTGGCTCATCTCCGAGAGCCTTTTCCTTGTCATGATCGAGGCGTACACGGTGAATCTGGAGCGAGATCCCACCAACGATATAATAACCTGTGGGTATTCGGCGGTCGCCATTGTCGCAACCATTTCGGTTGGAGCTGTCGCTCTTGGTGCTCTTATCGGATTGAGCTTCAGACGTTTCAAGTCTGGGATGCCGGTCGCCGGGAGCTGTAGTCTGGCTATTGCAGCCTCTTGTCATGCCAATGCGAATCCAAGAGACCTATCTCGGGAAGATGAATCAGCGTTGCCGCTTCAATGGGGAGAGGTGGGAGGGAGGGAACCCGTCAGGCATTGCACCTTTTCAAGCGCAGAAGTGTATATGCCACAGAATGGCAGGGTTTATCAATAGTTTACGTATTCAAATAGCACCATAATTTGTCTCTACGAAGCTAAAGGTGGCGCTTTGGTTGCACGTAGCTGTTCCTACAGTCTAAACACAAGCCTTCTTTTCTTTACTCGTCAAGTTCCTGTTGCGCCTTTTGGTGGCACCCCCTCTCCTGGCGAATTTCATCTGTGTGTCCAAATTCATGCTTTGAGAAACCGCGGCCCATCAATGACCGGAAAGGAGGCTTCTGACAACCCGTTGACGCATATCCAAGGGAAAGGTTTATTTCTTTCTCAATTCCAAACTATACTAGGTGGTAGAAGCAAACACTATAAAAGAGAGTTGATTCGCCCTGATGGACTGTAGACTTTAACTTCCGATATTCGTTTCGTCAATTGGCATATAATCTTCCTACACTCTTATATATATATTTAGGGGCCAGGTGAATTCAATTGTAGCAGTGGTTCTTCCATTTTGATTTGCCAGTGTTAGCTAACCTAACCTGTTAGGCACCTAATAAGAGGCAGTGGATGCTTTCTTGAGTCTGGAAAGCATCGACGTGGTTTATAGAAATCTGATGAGCCTACACTTGGAGCTGGCAAATCCACATCCCCGACTTCCCAGCGGGACTCGAAAGATATCGGTCATACGTGTTAAGTACCCGACACCAGACCTAATGCGAACCTAGGCACCAGCAAACCAGCAATGTTTTCCAATTGGCAAGCAGAATACAATATGCAACTTACGATTACCGCTAGAAACCGTGATTCCTTGGACCGTCCTGGCGGCAAACTAGGAAAAGCTGATAACGCGCTCTTCAAGGCATCCAACTAGCATTCATGGCTTTCATTATTATTGTTTTCAAAATTCTCATTCAGAAATGTGATGCGCGAGATGACTACAGTCAGCAAGCTTACCTCCCTCTGTCGACGACACACAGTGGACGCTAGCGATTTTGAACTCAGTACCTCCTCCTATAGTGTCAAGAACCCCACATCAGCCTTGTATCGCCTGTTTAGCTGGCTTGCATTGCTCATATCCAACGGCTTAGGGACATCGATGAAATCCTAGCTCGGATAGTGACCAATAATTGCACCTAAGTGGCCACAAATATTCTCATAATGTCGTTCACGATGGTAGACATTTTAGCGGCCAGAATTCTTCCAGTTGCTCTACATAATGCTGAAATAGAACTTGTACGCAGGTTTATATATCAAGACTGGTCCAGGGCGCGGGAGTAGACGCTCGAGTGGCCAATGTCTACCCCGGTAATCATTGACCACCTATCGAGAGGCCGCTGCAGGTGTTAATACCACCCCAATGAACCCATTACGGGCCTTCACTCTCTTGATTATAAGAGCATCTGGGAGCATAAAATACCAATTCAACATGTATCGAGTGAAGATGACACAGCAATTTTGCAAGCTTTGCTGAGGAGCGGAGCTCTATTGAGGGCTTGCCCAGTATTGCGTACATTCGCCTGTAAGGAGAGACAACCCGTCCTCTCGCTTGAGTAGAGATGGCTCTAACGAAGAGATACCTGTCCCATATCCTATTCAGTACGCCACACTAAACTAAAATGTGACTCCCATTCAACAGCTGCTCTTTGCAAAAGCAAATGCGGATTCCAGAATCGAGTTTGTGTCTATATTAACTCGCGTGAGGAAACCCTGCCTGAAGCATATACACCATGCTTCCCTATTGCACACTAGTACTCAGTGTAGCTAATTATAGTTCGCTATCTATTTCATAGCTTAACTGTACTTAAGCAAAAAGATTCTATTAATCTAGCTGCAACCTAGGAGTTAGGTATAGCAGACCTCATTACCTAAAGTAAGATAGCTAGATATGATACGCTAATCTACATAAGATAACTAATACGTAAATGAGACTGCAATAGATATGTTAGCTAGTTCGTGACTATGATTCTTTTGTCACGGGAAGATAGCAGGAAGAAAGCTTCCTGGAATACTTCCCAACTCACCCGCGGGGCAGTCAAACCTATCATACAAATCTCAGAATTGAAGACGCAACTTTGCGACGGCCCAAGGTATGTATTTCCATGACCACAGACATTGAGATGCATCTAACAAATGTTGTTGCGTGACAATGAAGCACTAGAGTCATTCTTTACATGATTCATACTCTGCAGGTGAAATGTCGGTGGCTCCCGTGGGGGATCATTGTCACCCCATCCGAAACCTTCCGGGAAGTTCGACCGCGAAAATCGATTGTACAGCAATACGGACCGCCGTCTCGAGTGGAGATAACTATTCTTGGGCAACGCCATATTGGCCGACAGCGGACGGACCTCGGCAGGTCCAGAGGGATCCACCACGGCAGGCATGCCGGTTACTTTATAGATCAGGTTCAGGGCGGGGATGGATAGACCGTGGACCACTATGGAGAAGAGGACAAGCCAGTAGACGACTTGGAAAACGGTTAGCCTGCTCGATGTCGAGCCATGAAAAGGGAAACTAGGGGTTCAACTAACTTGGGCTTAAAGCCTGGACGAGACGGGTCTCTTCAGGGTCACCATGGCCTAATGGTGGGAAGAGATGGCGGGCATGTTCGACGTAAAAGACGGCTCCGATTCCTGAGGTTGTAAGCAGGATGCTTCATGAATGAAGACCGATACGGCACATTCCCGGCGACATACCGATCGGCCCAAAGTACCCCATGAATAGCGCCTCCTTCCAGTTCTTACACACCCGTGGCATCAGCCGATACAAGAGCATAACACTTGGGATCCGTCGAAAAAGCAGCACTAGAAGTCCCAGGAGTATCAGACGCCAGTAAGTGATTCCCGTCTCAAGTGGCTGGTGAAACTCGGTCCAGGGGAAGATGGAGCCAATGTACATAAATCCGCCTATATTGAGGAGGACATCGATGCATGCATTGACCTCATCATGGCGCGCCTCTGTCTCGGCAAGATATTTCCCATCCCAGTTAAGGGCTCCTCCGGCAGCGAAACAAGCCAGGAGGTCGTTTGTGCCAATGCAGCCGCATGTCCCAAGTAGGAAGAACTAGTTAAAGATGGTGAGGGAAGGGTGGCATATGGGAAAAGAAACGAGAGACTTACCCCCAGGGCCGTGGGAAACAGGAGGTAGCTTTCACTATCAATCCATTTGCTAGAAGAGGCCTCAGTCCTGAACAAAGGATATGCACACAGCACGGTTGACTTACCGTCGCAAGGCAAACCTCAAACCGTGAAGACTGCCGTAACCTACCAATGCCCCGTACACAACCCCCATGGCCACGTAGTATAGCCATGTTTCAATCACCCACATCTCCAGCGCTTTGCCCACGCCTCCTCCTTGACGGCCGATCTCGCCTGATCTCTCGACAAGCCCCGAGTCTGCCTTCCCGGCATGTCGCATCAGATAGGTTGCTAGCATGAGGAAGGGAAACCCAAATCCATCGTTAAATCCGGCTTCCGAAGAGATGATTTCTCGAAGATCCCGCGCCACATATTTATCTGCAAATGGGCCTTTGGCGATAGCCTGGGACAGAATTGGATCGGTACAGGTGACGCAGGAACCGATGATTAGCGCAGAGATCTGGACAGGTTAGATTTCATTCAGGTGAGTTCTGAGAGCAGTAACGTACGAACGAGAGATTCGGGATGGTGGCTAGAATGCACCCCGAGGTACACAACCACATCAGAGTCATATTTGGAATCAAGCAGATAAACATCTCCTTCCAGCGTTTGCGCTGATACTTGGCAGGCAGTTGGTAGCCAGCAATTACCAGTTGGACACCAATCACAACACGGCATATACCCTACCCCAGGTGAGCCGTGGCTCTCAGGCCATGTATAGGGCATTAGCATACTAACCAGGGTTATGGGCTCCTGTTGGTCTTTGATCGCGGAACCCCATCTCGTCGCATCGAGGAATCTGGCAGCCACCGGTCCAAGAACGATACCTATCAGGACCGCGGGTACTGGGACGACAATGAGCGGGGGTTGAGGGTTCTGATTCTCTACGGAATACTCACATGCCTCTCCTAGGTACCAGACATTCTTGACCTTGATGGAGATGAGTCCGTACAGTAGAATGAATGCCCCTAAATCGAGTCAGCACAGACTTATCATGTCGATGAATCTCCGCACCTAGCACGCCAAGTACCACATTTAACTCGCTCACATCCAGTGTGGGCATGGTTGGACAATACAATGATCGGAACAAGGAACCAACTTATTCTCTAGGAAAGGGAGGATGCTGCGGCGGTACGTTAAGCGTTAAGTACTGATTAGGATCGCCATCAGCCCCTGAAACAGGTACCGTTGATTCGCTAACAGGCGCAAGCTGCTCAAAAATAGAAGAGTTTGGCGCCAAGAGACACGCCGAGACTCGCTCCGCCCAGTTATCGGACATCGTTGCCGCCAAGCCCTCCGCCGAGAGGGCAAGTTCCTGAAGTAGACTGTCGATCTTCCCACAGATTATCGCGCTTAGGGTTTCACACCTCGCAGAATGCTCTTGTTTTGTCTTGGCGGCCGTACAACTGGTGCGACTGGAATCTAGGTGTAGGTTACATTGCCCCCTTGCTGATCTTCGCAGTCAGAGTAGAGTAGCTAGACGCTCATCGGGCAAGGTCTCGTGTTAGAGCATAGTATTCGATGGGTCAATGAGGACGTATTCCCCTTTAAGGTAACGCATGTATTCTTTTCCACGTAAAGCCTCCATGGTACGGCTGAAGTCTTGCGGGGGTGCTGAACGTAGGAGATCGCGCGTAGTCCACTTCCTGTCAATTGCCGTGCTGTAGACAGGTGAGTGCACCTGCGTGGCCTTCTCTTATTGACTTTAATCCTGGAGGAGCTTCAATTGCCATGTAACGTTTGGGAGATCACGCGGCGGCCCAGGTAGAGTCTGGTTCTTTTTTCCGTAGAACCTGATATGACTGAGAGCCGATGATGCTGAGCGAGTCGCGAATTAATATGTGGAATCCGCAAATCATTGGCTCGGATGTCGGTTTAGATTTGCTTAAAATGAGGTCGCGTATAGAGAGGTTCGTCAGGATGACTTCGATCCTTTGATATTAGTAGAGTAGATGTGAGCTTCAGGGTTCGATGGAGAAGGGGGTCACGTAATAGGTTACATCAGCTTTCCTTAATCTCCCCTGTGGAGACTGGAACTTTATGTCCCCACCAACCCCGAGGTGGTCGGGATTTAGTGCCTGAGTGGGTCGGAGGTCCTCGGAGGTCCCAAGCCTTGGATACATGATGAGACCTGTAAAGGGGTCAAGATTCCTTGGATTACATGGCATAACTCTGTAGCGAATAGACTTTGTTATTATCAAAGTAGTCATGACTCTCTTAGAGGGTCAATTATATGAGGTTCTGCCTAAGGCGGAAAGCAAACCAGGAGAGTATGATTGGGAGAAACAATACGGTCATACTCTTAGTCCCAATGATACCAAACAGGGAATGGCATTCTTAGCCAGGATACCAGAGATAGGTCGAAATATTTTCTGGTGGCCCATAGGTGATGACGACTGAATAGACCCAAACTCGTGAGAGGAGGTACGATTACAAAAATATCATCAATTCATGTATAAGTTACAGATGTTACGCCCACTGACTGTATTGAATTCAATGTGCATTGGATGCTCGATTCAGCACGTACCTGCACATATGGTATGAAACTTAGTGGAAGAACCCAAGGAGGATGACGAGCTGAAGCCAAGCTTTGCCATCTGGCTGTTCAGGCCCCGGGAGAGCATGTGGTTGGTGTCATCGAGAGTAAACAATACAATATATGATGTATTATGGGGGGAAGATCAGCATGCACGAAATGTACTATATCATGTTGACCAATAGTCCGGAGGAATAAACGCAACGAGCATCTACATACATGTCAAGTGGACAGTGCAATATGTTGTACCCCCACATTGTATCGCATATCTTGGCAGCTCACCGGCCAATTCCTTCGTTTCCTAGGGTTGACCCCACGCAACGTGGATGGTCCTTCCCCGCGATCTTACCCCAGAGGATTATCATGAATTTGCGGGGAAAGACGAGTTTCTAGCTGATGGTCTTTGGTTATCACTCTAAGATGCAACAGAATGGGTCGCTTCAAGCAGCCATGATCATAGCTCAGTCGAAGGACGCGTGGGGATGAATCTTATATAAACCATAATTAACCCATTGAGTTGTTAAACAACCCACCGACAGATTCCGTGCCCCCAAACCCCAATCCTTAACAGCTATGTTTGGAAAGGAAATGAAAGACGTGCTCGAGGTTGAATATGTCGACGAGAAGGCCGCCCATCATGATGCCATCCAACAACTTAGAATGCCAGTCTCCCTGTCCGCCCTGTCGGAATCAGAATATTCTGCGCTCGGCCGGAAGGCCATCATGAAATTAGATACTCGTGTGATGCCCTGCATGGTGATCATGTACATCTTGAACTATCTAGACCGACAGAATATCGCGTCAGCAAAGTTGGCAGGAATTGAAGAAGATCTCAGGATGAATGATGTGCAGTACCAGACTTGCATTAGTATTCTGTTCGTCGGCTACAGTATGATGGCTAGGCTGCTTCTACCCTTCAAGCTCTATTGACGCGGCAATTCTCTTTATACTTCGTAGCTAACTGGGGTCGTTGTGACAGTCTTAATGCAAGTTCCTTCGAACATTGTTGTTGGGAAAATTGAGCGTCCTGGTATGTACATCTGCATTTCGATGGCGCTGTGGGGTGTCATTTCTGCGTGTATGGCTTCGGTCAAAAACTACTCCGGGATCTTGGTTTGCCGTTTCTTTCTTGGGTTTGTCGAGGCCATCTTCTTTCCCGGGGCTTTGTTCTACCTGTCCCTTTTCTACAACCGAAAGCAATACGCCCTATGAACCGCAATTTTGTACTCTGGGTCCCAGCTAGGGAACGCATTCGGGGGTCTTTTTGCAATTGCGATTCTCAAACTGGATGGCGTGCATGGGATGACAGGATGGCGATGGGTGAGTACTGGATATCATGTTATTTCTGAGTGTTTATTGACCTTTTATTCCATCTAGCTTTTTCTTGTGGAAGGTGTCGCTACTGTCGGCTTAGCTTTCATCCTTGCGTTTGTACTACCGAATTCACTGAAGTCGCTGCTAGGCTTCACCGAGCTGGAGAAAGAGTACCTGCAGTGGAACTTCGAATCGGACCAAGGACAACAAGACAATGCGGATGAGGTCGGCGCATGGAAGGGAACAATGATGGCCCTGACGGACCCCAAAACCTGGCTCATGATGGGGACCCTGTATAGCGTAAGTCATGAGATAGTAATCGCGTCTCGAATCACGTTCTAATGAGCTTATAGATCTATATTTGTGCTGCTGTCACCAACTTTTTCCCTTCAGTTGTCGCTACGCTGGGATACTCGCGGAATACAACCTACGGACTCACAGCAGTAAGACCTGTCATCAAGCATGGAGTATGGCGGTCCTCGCTTGCTAACCTCTGGTCATGCTTTAGCCGCCATATGTTCTGTCCGTAGTGGCGATGATCATCAATGGATTCCATTCTGACAAGGTATGTTGGATCCAAGCAACACTTTTTGTGCCATTAGTAACCACACGAAATAGAAACAAGAGCGATATCTGCATATTATATGTCCCATGATCGTCTGCCTGGTCGCCAATATCATTGCCGTGTCCACACTCAACACCGCGGCGCGATGTAAGTTATCCCCTACGGTGGATGTTTGAATCAGGAGAAGTCTCGTAAGAATGGAGCTAAGCCAGTGACACCATAGATGTTGCAATGATGTTGATGCCTGGATCCTTCTATTCGGCCTCGACTATTCTCTTGTCATGGGTTGCCGGCTCTATCTCGCAGCCCTCCATCAAACGGGCATCCGCCATTGCCCTAATCAACGCGATCTGTAATACTCCTAATGGTGAGATTGTCATTTAGTAGGTTTGAGTGCTATGGCTCACTATCGATCATTTTCTAGTCTGGGCTTCCTATTTGTATTTCTCCGAACCTCGATATCTTGCGGCATTTTTGGTCAATCTGGCCGCGGCCGCTTTGACCATTGCGCTGGCTACGGTAACAAGAATGTATTTACGACGACAGAATCAGAGGCTGGATAGTGGCATGGATACCGGTCGTAGTGGACCGACTGGGGCTCAAAAGGCTGCTGGGTTTAGATATACGCTGTGAGGTTCTAGTGTTATGGACGACTTTTGCTTCCTCGGAACGTGGCATTGCTTCAGAGAGTCGGGGGGATCCACCACCATGGCCAATGAAAACCTCGAAGACCCTCCGTCGAGTGTTACTTTTTTACATTCAAATTCAATTCTCTATACGATAACACTATCCCTGTCTGGTTCACCCATTAATTACTGTTGTACTTGCCAAGTAGATCCCGACTGCGTTAAATGTATTGAGTCAACTTGGTCAAGGTAGGGAACTTGGGAGAAGATACGATGACACGCTGTAGGATGGAAACTGCAAGGCCTGTGTATCTACCGACATTTAATGCCGTGCAATGAGAAACATGCTGGTTTTAATTAATTCAAGCATTAGTTTTACCGAGGTGTCGATCGCTGTCCACTCACTCCTCCGACATCCGAGAGCGATCATCCAATACTTCTACATCTCTGCGCACATGGCGTATGGAATAGTGGTAGCTGATTGTCGGATAATTTGGAAAAATATATGTCCTAATAATTGGTTATTATAAAGGGTACTTAAGCCCAGACTAGCTATCTGGCGAATCTAGCAGCACGGTTTCCAGCCTTCTTGATCAAATACAAGAAGCTTCAAATCAATTCGTTGTCTACAGTCGTTGGTGATTTTGGTACATCATGCGGTTCTCGACAGTCTCATCACTACTAATGGTTGGATTGCGGCTGGTGTCCTCATTGCCAACTACGAGCTCTGGTACCTTGAGCAACTTAGAAAGCCCAGGCAGTGGGCCATATCCAGCTGTACGTTCTCCCTGTCTAGCTTAAGGTGTTATGTATCAGAAAACATAAAACACCACTCTAACACGACATAGTATTGGTTTACCGAGCCTAGTCTATCCAACCACACAATCTACTCGCCTATCTCTGTGCCCCCGGGTGTATCCCTCCCAGTCCTCGTCTGGGCAGAGGGTGGCTGCGAGAACAATGGGACGAAATTCGCTCCATTCCTATCAAATATTGCCTCATATGGGTTTTTAGTCCTTGCATCCGGTCCCCCAAATGGAAGCGGCTCAACCACGGCGCAGTTCATGGCGGATGCAGTCGAATGGATTACGCATAGAGCAGGAACAGCCGGTCGGTATGCTTCTGTAGATGCAACACTTATAGCAGCAGCAGGTCAAAGCTGTGGTGGCCTAGAGACATATCGAATGCGAAGCAATGACCGGATCAGTATCTTGGGTATCTTCAATTCGGGTTTCTTGGGAAATGAAACGTTTATCGCTAGTGTTGGAGGACAAGCCACTGAGCCCCCAACTACTATCAAGGAGGTTCACAAGCCGGTGTTCTACTTCTTGGGGGGGCCTACTGATATTGCCTATGCTAATGTATGAAGTTTTGCGATCTCCGTTGCCTTGCATGTGATCTTCAGTCCGAGCTGACAAACTTCCTTTTAGGGTGAAGCGGATTATCATAATCTCACGGGGGTCCCTAAATGGATTGGAAATTATCTTGTGGGGCACAGTGGAACCTACAGAGATGAAAATGGTGGAGCTTTCGGTGTTGCTGCTGTGGACTGGTTGTCGTGGGCGTTTAGACGCAACGAGACAGCGGCTAGCTTTTTCACCAAGGGAGGTGCACAGGAGGATGGATGGGAGGAAGTAGAGAGCAAGAATTTGGAGAACCTTTTTGCGTTTATCCCGAGCAAGAAGGAGACTTAAATATTTATTTCAAGACCAATGTTCGTCCATGTTCGCCCCCGACATCGAGACGGAGGATTCAGTTTCCGAGAATCTAGGTAGCCACGTTGATAGTCAAGAGAATAATCTTTTCATAGCAACCGCTCGAGACGTTATTGTTTAAAGGTCATCCTTTCCCTCTGTTAGGATCTGCTCAATTCATCTAGCACCATAGCGCAGGACGTGGCCAATGATATAGGATATTTGATCAGATCGGTAGGTATCGTGCTCGATTGTGCTACCATAGGCATTAAAAACCATACTCGATTTGTTTGTGCCGTAAGTCGGCCAGAGTGGTAGCGCGGTATCTTATCAACTTATCAGCTAGAGGAACATACGAAGCAGGGGGACATTTGAGACTAGGGCAGCGACTAACTTACTTCCATTAAGATTCGGATTCAAGTCGTATGCGAAAGAAACCCAGGCTTTGGTCATTTCCGCAGCTAGGGCTTTTTCCCACGCCGTCCCGGGTATGAGATTGGAGAACACGTAAGGTATTTCCATGCCTGTTGTAATCCCTTCTGATGGATTTGAACTATTAGCCGGGAGCTGGTTGAATCGAAAACGATATACGGGGTTGTCTCCGTTGTGTTGGGCAAGTGCTTCGGCGATCATGCGTGCTGGGCCAATCTGCACAATATCCCCAAATATCGAGCACGCTTTCTTGTCTAGCATACCCGAACTAAGCATAGCATCTCCAGTATTATATGGACATCCTTCGCGGGGATCATTCGGGTAAAGGTTTAGCAGATCTTTCACTACATAGTCAGGGAGAGTTTCCGGCCGAAAATAACCGTCAGCTAGGGGTTCATTAGTGTCGGTGGACTAAGGGTCTGCTAGCCATGAAGATATAGGCTGACCTAAAAAGCCTGTCAATTCATCGGTGGAGTTGATCCCAGTTGGAGCCGAAGTGGTCCCCTCGTCAGTATTCGCTTCCGATATCATTAATAACAGCACTGATAGATATATTCTTCTGGGGTGGTAGGACTTACTCCCAACAATAGTAGGCACCTTTACATATTTCCCTGCTGGAAATGCAAATTGCACAGATGTAGCCGTGAAGGTTCCGTCAATCGACTGGCCCGTTTTATCGCCAACGCTTGAAAGAAACGTGTCGATTGGAAGGGCCCTGATACAGTCCAGCTGTTCCGCTGCAGACGATTCAGCCAGCGTGGAGCAGGAGGTATTTGTAATCAAACTGTCGAAAGTCTGCTGGAATGAAGTTGTATTTGGCAACGTGAGGGGAAATGCTCCCCCGCTCTCTAGAATGGCCCCTCGAAATAGGCCGTCGTCACGACCACCATAGGCCATCATATGTGAGTAAATAGAAACAGCCCCAGCGCTGGACAGGGACCATGGTCATTCATTGCTTGTCTTGTGAAGGCCAAAATAAAAAAGACTTACGATTCCCCGAAAAGCGTTACTTGGGGTGGGTTAGCATAGATCTGTAAACTGCTAGCAGGGGCAAATCAGGATACTACCTTTCTTGGGATCCCCCCCAAAGGAGGCAATATTTTCCTGTAACCAATGCAATGCCCGTCGCTGATCCAACATGCCGATGTTCAACAGACCGAGCTCTGCCATTTGGCGTCCGTTCAAAAAGCCTAGTGATGCAACGCGATAGTTCTACCCAGCGTCAGCTACTAAGTAACACTAGAAGGAAGTCGATTGTTGGTAGCAAGAGACATACAATTGACACAAATATCACTGGCTTTTTGATTTGGGCTGATAGTGTGACAATATTGGAACCGTCAAATCGTGGGTCTCCCTACCTATTCGTTTAGAAAGAGTTGTGTAGACGCACCGTGGTACGTGAACCTACAACATATCCGCCTGTGAGCCCACCTCCATAGAGCCATACGAAAACCGGCACAAGTGGAGAAGATGCGGTTTTTCCCACTTCATCAGGTCGCCAGATGTTCAATGTAAGGCAATCCTCACTCTGCTTATACTTCGAGTTGGACTTTCCGTAGCATGCTGGTCCCATACTACTTGCGTTCAGTGTCCCAAATGATAAATTGAGGGGCACTGCCTGCTGTAGTCGCAACGGTCCTACTGGTGGCTGTGCATAGGGAATGCCCAGGAATCGCTGGATCCCTTCCAGGCCATTTCTCCTCCCAATAACAGTGCCATTCTTCAATGTGACCGTCGGCTGTGATCCATGTTGGCTATCTGCCAATGCGGTGACCTGTAAGATGTGGTATAAGAACACATGAAGCACGACCCAATACATTATGTGGATCACGCGTTCGGTGTGCAATAGACTGATAGGCGTACAGAATTGGTGGAATATATATAAAAATCGAAATACGACAAGATTGTATAGAGCTGACGGCCGCAGAACTGACACATGAAATGATAGGGTTCACCCAATGCATCCGGCACAGTCCATGACTAGGAACTGCCGAATATATTTAATGCAGTGCCAAGATTTGTCCGGATGGCGGATGTAGAAACAACGACTCCATGTGTTCTTCCGCTCGGAAGTGACCGTCTTTGCGGATCTAATTACCATTTAGATACAGCTAAGCCGCTATCCGGCGGGGTGTCGTGCCAGATAGATAATGCACCAAAGAGTCTCTGACGAATGACTATACATAGAAGTGAAGGGCGTCGAGAGAAGACTATGTAGTGGCAATGTATTATGGTATGCGGAATATTCCATTCGAGGAATACAACCAATTTCATACGTTTCTGAGTTCCTAACGTAGCAAAGTCTTTTGGTGCTGAGTTATGAACGGGTGATTATAGCATTAGAAAGGTTATTTCACCCATAAGCATTCCCCAGATAGTCCTCTACTGACACTGAATAGTCAAAATCTACTGGGCTTGAACTACCTAGGCCTAGTGCAAAAGATTCCAACGGTGCTGGATCTCCCAGTAATGTGAGAAGATCATCGTGAGTTGAAAGAAAATTAGTATGCGATGAGTCGAGGTGTACCACTTCTTCGTGATTAGGATTCGGCATTTGGGACTGTTCCTCGCGTCGCAAGCTTCCCTCGTGCATCGGGAAACGTGGATTATGGGTTTCTGTGGCCCGACTGAGTGGGATACTATGCGCCTGATGCTCCCCCAGTCTTCTCTCGACAAAGAATCTGGAGACCTGAAGGATTTCAGTTATCACATCGGCGCATCGCTGGGAGACCTTGAGAGTTTTCATGGAGTCCAATATTTTCAGTGCCTTATGCACATCTTGAATAAGTATATCTACCGAGAGTTGCGGATACCCGAGCAGAATGATATGGAGAATAATTAAACTGGCATAGAGAACATAGAAGGTATTGTACCACCACGT